AGCAGTGCACGCACTGAGAAGTCCTCGTGCTGGGGAGGCCAGTGCGGGAACAGAGATGTGCACCCTCAAAAGCACTGCAGTGGTGGACATTCTGGGGTCTCGTCCCAAGCAAGGGTGGCCATGGTGGTGGTGCTGTCACTGAGACAGCTCCCGTGGCACCGATCGGGGCCACGTAGCTTCAAAGCTTACCGAGCCTTCCCAGATTCTGGGACCCACTTAATACCTTTAAATAAATACCTTTCCTTACTTAAAATAGCAAGAGCTTATTTTTTTGTTAGCAACAAAAAAAACCTGACCAACATTAACTGAAAGCCCAAATTTCTGATTCCCAAAGTCAGAGCATATTTTTTTCTCAGTCCACAATCAGGTCTTAGCTTTAAACTCACATCTTATCAACCCTCTCCCTTTCTCCAGATAAATAACGGAAAATAAAGAACCGAGAGCACCTGGAAAGAGCAGCTTGGACCCTGGAACTGTCAGAAGGAACAGCAATGGGTGGGAGATAGGAAAATTAAGGGGGAAGCAGGAGAGGAGGAAAGCAAAACAGGATCTGGAGGGGCAATGTAGACAAGACAACATAATCAGACAAGAAAACACATTTATTGAGCAACGACTTTGTGCCAAGATGTATTATAAACCACAGCAAAACCAAAAGTAAGTATCAAAGACAGGTGTTCACAGCAATTCTCATCTCCCACTTTCTAAAGAGAGTTCTTTTAGAGCTCTTTAGCTCCTAAGTTCTTTTTTGTAGAAACAGTTCTAATGAATCAGCACAAGAAACGCCTCGGAGTTATGCACAGAAGAAAGAAGAGGTATAGAAAGGGGGAGAAGGGATGACAGGCTGGCATTAAGAGGGAGGGTAACAGAAACGAGAAATGGAAGAAAGAGGTACCACCATGAGGGAGACTCTGAGGAAGGCAATATTTTGGGACAGTTGGGGAAGATGTGCTGGCAATGCCTGGGGTAACACCCTTTCCCTTGTCTCCTCTTTCAAGAGCCTTCCTAAAGGCTCACATTACCTTCAAGAGTTTTAATACGTATTTGTTATCCTTTTGGAAGTATCACCATCTTGGAACCAGTCTTAAGAAGGAACAAATGGATTATCTCATTTGGCCTTTATTATAAGCTTGTGAGATGAGCACTATTTATGACTTCATTTCTCAGCTTAAGCACCTGAGGATCAGAAAGGTTTTATGGCTTACCCAAAGTCACACAGCTCTCCAAGGGGTGAGATTGGGATTTGAATCCAGACCGAAGAGATTCCAACAGCCTTGCATGGAGGAAGGTGGAAGTGACATATGTTGACCTCCTTCACATCACAATCTGCCCATTTGCTTCCTGGGGCTGATCACATGGATCCGGGAATTCCAGAGCGGATGTAGGAATCTGCCAATGACTTAGATACATAACTTAAAGAAAGAAAGAGAACACTTTGCAGTCCCACATGACAACTATGCCCACAGCCTAAGGACAGAACCTCCAAAGCTACAATCAGGAGCTAAGCTGGGTTAAGTTATTCAGAAAATAAAAAGGAATTAGACTACAGGGATAAAATAGGTGTGTAATATCCCCTTGGTCTGCTCCACTCATTTCTCAAGGTGATTAAGTTTCTATGCACTTTTTAAACGTTTAAATGCAATGACCTCGTGGTTGTTTATATCCATACAGACCAGAGAGTGATGACCCAGGAAAGCCACCATTGTGTAATAATTTTAGGCTAAGGAGCTAGTCCCAAGCCTGGGAGACACAATCACTCTGAACTGTGTAAGAGCAACACAGAGGGTTTCTTTTCTCCCCGCCACACCCCTAAGAGGTTAATACCATTAGTTCACAGCTTATAAATGATTCGCTGGGGCTGCAAAAGCTTCAGCGATCTGCTCAGTCACTCAGCTTCTGGTTTTCATGAGGAGTCCATACGTCCTGGCATAAAGATGGTCCCAGTTTATACTTATTTCAGGGCAATTAAAGAGGCTCCTTTGTTCTCATGATTTTCCCCTTTCAGACGACAATTTGTAGGGTCACCCTAGTCATTAGTGACAACACTGAGGTAAACCCAGCTCAGACTGACTTGATAGCTGTGGTCACTGGGGTCTACAGGCTTGTACAGGGTACATTTTCATGAAGTAGGGCCTGACCCTAGAGGCTTTTATTTCATGAGTCTGGAGTGGGCCCAGAAGTCCATTTTCACAAAGACCCCCTCAGGTGATTCAGTTGCTGATGGTTGGAGGGCTGTGTTTTGTGAGACGCTCTCCTTTTACCTCATACTTGAGCTTGCGAGGGCCCCCATAACAAGGTATCACACACTGGTTGGCTTAAACGACAGGGGCTTATTTTCTCACAGACTTGGAGGCTGGAAGTCCAATATCAAGGTGTTGGCATAGTTGGTTTCTTCTGAGGCTTCTCTCCTTGGCTTGCAGATGGCGGCCTTCTCACCGGGTCCTTACACGGCCTCTTCTCTGTGCACACACATAGCTGGTGTCCCTCTGGGTGTCCAAATTTCCTCTTCTTATGAGGATACCAGACCAATTGGATTAGGGCTCCACCCCAAAGGCCTCATTTTAACTTCATGACTTCTTTATTTATTTTTTTTCTTTACAAATAGTTTATTGTCAAATTGGTTTCCACATAACACTCAGTGCTCATCCCCACAAGTGTCCTCCTCCATGCCCATCCCCCCCCCCCTCATCCATCAGTCCTCAGTTTTTGTCAGCATTCAAGAGTCTCACTTCATGACTTCTTTAAAATCCCCATCTCCAGGGGCGCCTGGGTGGCTCAGTCAGTTAAGTGTCCGACTTTGGCTCAGGTTATGATCTCACGGTTCATGGGTTTGAACCCCATACTGGGCTCTGTGCTGGCACCTAGGAGTCTGGACCCTGCTGTAGATGCTGTGTCTCCCTCTCTCTCTCTCTGCCCCTCCCCCACTTGTGCTCTGTGTCTCTCTCTCTCTCTCAAAAATAAACATTAAAAAAAAACATCCAGAACAAACAAAAACAAAGTCTCCATCTCCAAATTCAGTTACATTCTGAAGTATCAGGAATTAGGACTTCAATACATAAATTTGGAAAGGGAGATGGGGACACAGTTCAGCCCACAATGCCTTACTAGGTACAGAAAGTGGTCATGGAGGGAAGTTGTAAAATCTTCTTTTCAGAGGGTCTTTAGAAGTAAAACAAAGGCACGCCCGTGAGAAACTTGTGTGAGCCGGGGTAACACCTTGTTAATTCCTTCTTTGCCACTGGTTTGGAACTGTACTTCAGACTGTGGACGTGTCTTGGCCCACTAGTGTGAGTTCCAGAGGCTTCTGGGAAGAGATGCTTTTCGGCCACCACCACCATCATCCAGCCCTCCCCCATCCCCAAAACTGGGTAAAACAGAGCAGTGAAATCAACTTCTGCTACTAGAAGGTGTGAAGGTGGCGAGTCAGATGCAATTTGAATTAACCTGCATGGTAGACAATGTTATTTTTGTACCCTAATGACATTCCTACTCTTCCTTCCTGACAGAGGTTACCGAACGACGAAGGCAGGAGACCTCTTGAGCAGCTGGTGCGTGGGCATGCACCTCAGCTCTGGTCAAGAGGATCCAAGGGGAGACCTGTTAGTTGGTTTCTGGAAAAGAATCTTCCTCTGGTTAAGAAAGAGTATTCAACAGAAGCCTCATGGCTCCTGCTTAGGACATGATTATCTGTAGACGCAGATAATGCTATCTGTGACCTCGGGGAGAAAAAGTGCCCTTAAGAGGGTGACCTGGAGCCTCACCTGTGAACCAACTCTGAAAACACCCACCTCCAGACTTACTACGTGAAGCAATGAATATCCTAGTTGTTGAGCATCCTTAAGTAGGGTTTCCCTTAGTTTTAAGCAAAACCCTCCTACCTGATATAAGGAAAAGGGCTCCAGTCTTTATTTTTTAAGTGTTATGGTTGTTTAAAAATTAGCATATATTCCATGTTTGTTATAAAAACCACAAGCAAAAATAAAAATGTATATAGAAATCAATCTTAAAGAGTATACTCCATACAATTATTTTTAATAATCCAGTTTATGCCCTAGTTTATAACTTTTATCCAGATATATACATCTATTTATTCTACAAAAATGGCATCACACTCTGTCCCTCGTTTTATAATCGGTTTTGTGTCTGTGCCTAATTGTGATGTTCTTTTCACAGTTTTGATAGTGGAAACATTCCATTGTGTATATATACCAAAATTTAAATGATCATATATTGTTGTCATTTGCAGTTTTTAACCAATATAACTGCTATTATAAATATGATGATAAACATCTTATGTATATAAATTTGCTCATTTGACAGAATACTTCCATAGGATAAATTCAGAAAATGCTACCTGAGTCAAAAGATACCAGATATGCCTGTAAGGATTTGGGTCTGAATTGCAAAAGTGCTCTCCAGGAAGTCTGTGGCACTGTATTCTCTCACAAGCAGTACATAAGACACCTGTTTCTTCATACCTTCCCCCAATGCTGGCTATTCTTTTTTTTTTAATAGTTTATTGTCATGTTGGTTTCCATATAACACCCAGTGCTCATCCCCATCTCCTCTATGTCCATCACCTCCCTTCCCCTCCCCCCACCTCCATCAGTCCTCAGTTTGCTCTCAGCATTCAAGAGTCTCTCATGGTTTGCCTCTCTCCCTCTCCCCAACTATTTTTCCCCTTCTCCTCCCCCATGGTCCTCCATTAAGTTCCTCCTAATCCTCCTATACATGCAAACATGGTATCTGTCTTTCTCTGCCTGACTTATTTCGCTCAGCATAACACCGTCAAGTTCCATCCATGGCCAGATTTTATTCTTTCTCATTGCCATGTAGTATTCCATTGTATTGACACTTATTAAAAATATTTTTAATGTTTATTTCTTTTTGAGAGAGAATGAGAGTACGAGTGGGGGAGGGGCAGGCACACACACACACACACACACACACACACACAAACACAGAACCTGAAGCAGGCTCCAGGCTCTGAGTTGTCAGCACAGAGCCCAGCGCGGGACTCGAACCCACAGGCTGTGAGATCATGACCTGAGCAGAAGTCAGACGCTCAACCAACTGAGCCACCCAGGCACCCCTGGATATTATTCTTAAGCATTGCCAATCAGATAGACCACAAAAGAAAATTTATCTGAAAAATTTTCGTAAGCTTTTGATTACCAAATAAGGGTAGACATCAGTTTGGCTTCCTGTTGAATGCCTGGCTAGCTTAAAATTTCTTTCCTATTTTACTCAAACACAGGCCTGAGAGGCCACTGAGCACCAGGCATGGCCAGCTGCCCTTACTCACTCTCCCCTGTTGATTACAGGACTCACTGTGTCTGGCAGAATGAATTCTCCTAGCCTGCCTGGGTGACAGCCCATTACTCAAGCAGCGCACCCCCACCCCCCACCCCTGCCCGGGGGCTGCCCTACCCCGGCCTCTTTTAAATGTAACAACTTGTCTCAGTTGGCCAGTTTCAACCCTGGCTGCACATCAGAATTATCTAGGCAGGATTTTTCTTTAATATAAATTTTATTGTCCTTTCTGAGTAGGTAATATATGACTCACAACAACAAAAAATCAAAGGAGTATTCAGTTTATAAAAATCTCCCTCCATGGCCTGAACTACTCCGTTATCTTCCCCAGAAGCAACAGATGTCATGAATGTCTTATGGATCCTTCCAGAGATACGAGTAGATTTATTTTTTTTTTATTTTTTAATGTTTTATTTATTTCTGAGAGAGAGAGAGACACACACACAGCGTGAGCAGGGGAGGGTCAGAGAGAGAGGGAGACAAAGAATCTGAAGCAGGTTCCAGGCTCTGAGCTAGCTGTCAGCACAGAGCCAGACGCGGGGCTCGAACCCATGAACCATGAGATCATGACCTGAGCCAAAGTCGGGCACTTAACCGACTGAGCCACCCAGATGCCCCTATATGAGTATATTTAAAGAATATTAGCTCCACTTTTACACCTGCAAAAAGTGAAACTCATGGCACGTAAGTGGTGGTCACACTGCTCTGAAGCGGCGGGGGTAGCTCTGGCATTGCCCCTCTTCTTAACCCACGCTGTCCATTCTTTCCCTCAAACTGCATAAAACAAGCACAGACCGAGCAGAGCCATGTGAGCCTCGGCACACAGGAGGGTCATGATCCATGGGGCCCTTGTCCTTATGGGGTTTATAGTCCTGTGGGGAATGGACAGTAGTGACGGGTTAAAATGCAGGACGCTGAGTGCTCAGTGCAAGAAGAAACACGGGAGACTGAGTACCCACCTCACTGGTGGATCATAAGGCTTCCAGAGGAAGTGGCGTCCAGGCAGAGCCCTGAAGGAAGCTCCAGGAGTTACCAAGATGGAAAGAGGAAAGGATGTTCCCAGCAGAGGGAACAGTATATGCAAAAGGCCAGCGAGAAAGAACAGGTGTCGGGAATTGCATGGAGCTCTGCTGGGGTGAAGGACGTAAGCAACACAGCTTCCAAATAATTGGGGCCAGATTGTCAAGGGCCCTGCAGACCAGGATATTTGAAGATTGGGGGCTCAATTTATAGAGAAGCCCCACTTAAACTGGGAGAAGGGTGATGTGATTTGATTTGCATTTTCAAAAGATCACTCTGGATACTGTGTAGACAGTGAACTAGAGGGGAGCCAGGGTGGGTGCTTGAGAGGGCTTTGTACATGCACTCGGGGGGCGGGAGGGAGATGGTGGACTACATTAAGGTAACAGCAGAACAGCATGGGATGAAGAATGGATGGATTTCAGAGGACCTACGGCCTGGGTGTAGGGGACAAAGGCAGAAGTAGAAGGAGATCCCAACACTCCTCTCCCAATCTCTGCCTGTGCTTCACAGCAAGGTGTCTGCGGTCCAGAGCATTCTGCAAAATGGTGGCAGCTAGTGGCATAAGGCACAGCGGCGCTCCTGCTGGGCTGGTGCAAGACCGTCCGAGCAACTCCAGTTAAAACCAGAACACCCTGGGGCGCCTGGGTGGCTTAGTCGGTTAAGCGTCCGACTTTCGCTTAGGTCATGATCTCGCGGTTTGTGGGTTCGAGCCCCGCGTTGGGCTCTGTGCTGACTGCCAGCTCAGAGCCTGGAGCCTGTTTCAGAGTGTGTGACTCCCTCTCTCTCTGACCCTCTCCTGCTCACGCTGTCTCTCTCTCCTAGAAATAAATAAAAAACATTAAGAAAAAAAAATTTAAAAAAAAAAAAAAAAAACCTGAACACCCTGGATGTCTGAGGTTCCCAGTAGGGTAACAGTGTGCTAATGATAACGGTCGCTATGCCAACAGTATGCGCTGCCTCTTCTCCTGGGCTTGTCTCCGTAGAATCACCAGGGGAGCTTTGAAAATCTTAAATGTCAGGCTACATGCCAGACCAATTGCTCTAAACTTTCTGGAGTCGGACCCAGGCACAAGCATTTTGACAATGCTTCTCAAACTTTACAGTGCATTTGAATTACCAGGGAAACTTGTAAAGATTCTGAGATTCTGCATTGCTAACAAACGTCCAGATCATACCCATACTTCTGATCTAAGGACCCGAATTTGGGTAGCAAAGCCTTAGGCTGTTCCTCCTCCCTTTCCTCCTGCCCATCAAAATCAATGCCTGATCCTCATTGGCCTATTTTCCTCAAGGATGTAACATCAGAAATGCAGGCTTTCTTCCTATTAGTTTCTTTTCTTCTGGGAGCTGGTCCGAGGAAAGGGAACTAATTATTATTGATTCACCTACATTACCGTGTTTGAAGGAGAAGATACTTAGAAAAGTGGGAATTTAAAACATTCTTGCAGTCAGGTCTTTCTGACCAATGCAATATGGTCTTCTTCACCCTTCCTGCCATGAATTTTTCAGTTTTGAACAGGTTCACATGGCTCCTCTTCCCCTCCACCTCCCAGTTCTAACAATATTCTTTAAGATTGTGCACACACGGAGTGGGGCAAGTGGCCCAACTGTTCACTTAGGGCCGATGGGCCTGGGTTTGTATTCTGGCCTCGCCACCTAATGACTTTGTGACCTGGGACAATTTGTTTAGCTACTCTGTGCCTCAGTTCTCCCACCTGTAAGTTGGGAATTATCATACATAAATTAAAACATGTATAAATAAAGGCTTAATCTTGTCATTAGAACCATATATAAATTTACCTTGAGTCCTTACAATGGGACCAATCATCCCATTTTGTGGATGGGTTGAGTACCTGGTTTGTGGTCACACAGCTGGAAGTCAGTGTCAGGGGCAGGATGTGAGCCCAGGTAGACTGGATCCAATGGTCATTCTCTCAACCACCACAGTGCACTACCTCTCGCCCACACGTGCTAGAACTCTGACCGAGGATGGAGGTCTGTTGACCCCAGTCATGGCTCTCAGGTAGGGCCATGCTGTCGATGTTTGCCAGAGTCGGCCGCAGCTCTCAGTCCCACAATCCCTATGCAGCCTCCCATGCTACACAGGCCCTGATGCCCGTGCACACATGGTGCCAAAACCATGGCCCTCGCCATCGGCCTTGAGGCCAGCAACTGAAACACTGCAGGCAAGCAATTCTGCATTGATCAATCCAACAAATCATGCACATAGTCCTTCACTTCTTGAGCGCCTTCTGAGCTCTGAGTCAGGCTCCTGTGTTAAGCTCTGGGGATGTCCAGGTTAATAAGAGCCATCCCTGCTCTAAGAGAGCTCATGTGGGGCCTCACAGAGGGGGCAGACTGGTGAGAGATGATTTGTGATAACTCACAAGAAATGATCAGAAAGGGAGAATAAGCAAAGTGGAAAGTTCTGCCTAGAGACATCAGGGAAGGCTTCTAAGAGGAGGTGGCATTTCAGCTCAGAAATGAATCAGGAAAATTAATGAATTAATCAGTTCACTGGCAATACTGTGCTGAGTACTAAAGATGAGAGAGTGTCCTGGGTAATTTCCGTTTCCTCCTGCAGATTCCCTGGCCATCTTCTCCTGCCTGCTCTGTGCCCCAGGAGGCTGAACCATAGGACTGTGTCAACGGGCTGCTTTGTCCCCTGGTCTCTGGTTGGGTTTGGCAAGTAAGAGGTACCAACAGGAGATTAGCAGGTGGAAGAAGAATGAGGTCAGGCATGTATTTGTTAGAGCTTGGCTGTTTCAGTCAGCTCTGCCTTCTATAACAAAATACTGTAGACTGGGTGGCTTATAAACTATAGATATTTATTTTCTTACAGTTCTGGAGGCTGGAAGTGTGGGATCAGGGTGCCAGCATGGTGGGCTTCTGGTGAAGTCCCCCTTCCAGGTTGTAAGTTGCCACCTTCTCATTGTCCTCACATAGTGGGACAACAGAATGGAAGCAAGCTCGCTTGACTCTTACAAGGGCACATGTGAGGCTCCACCCTCATGACCCTATCTGACCCTAATCACTTCCCAAAGGCTCACCTAACACCATCAAATTAGTGGTCAAGATTTCAATATATGAATTTTGGGGGGACACAAACATCAGCCGATACAATGTTCTTATGGGGTTGCCTCTGATTGATTGGATCCCTCCACCAAAGGCCATGGCTCCTGCCAGGTGGTCCCCTGCACATGGCTCTCTCTCTGAGTTCCTGATACCTTCACCTGTCCTTTGAGGCCCAGTGGGGTAGACCTTGCCCATGCCTTGCAAATAGTCCCTTTATTAAACTCACCTCAAGCTATTTGATTTGAGTATGCCATCTGTTCCTGCCAGAACACTGACCAATACACGGGATAAGCAAGAAAGATGTGGTCTCGGCTTTCAGGGAGCTTAGGTATGTTGAAGAAGGCGGGGGGATACTTGGGGTAGGGGAAATGCATCTTAGCACATATTAAGGGTCTCTGGGGTTCTGAGAATGGTGGGACCTTCAGTGTGGACAGAGCACAGGGTGTGGGGATGAGAATAGCAGCAGAAGAGGCAGAGAAAGTTCTCACCAAGGTACTGACTGGGCACCCACTTGGTGAGAAGCACAATGCTACCTGCTGGGTGAACCCAGAAATAAGCAAGGCTGGTCCCTGTCTGTAAGGACCGACTATAGAAGTAACAGGATGTCCCTCATGAAATAAGAATTTCCTCAGTTTGAATAAGAAAGAAAACCATTACTTATTTCTTCAGTCAATGCA